GGTCCGAGGGGACAGAGCCCCTTCCAGCAGAGCGGCCTTCGTTCCTCTCCCGGTTGTTTGGGATAAAACCTGAAGGTTTTGCACACAACTCACTGATTCTGAAAGCGTAAGCTGGCGGTGTGCAGAGAAATACAGAAAGCCGGAGGAATGACAGTCAAGCTAGATTTTAAGGAAACTGTCAAGTTCACTCATGTTTTTCAGGACCTTTTAATTGTTTTTAAAACGTACATCAAGGTCCCCACTGCACTGGCTGGGTGTCTTTGAAGTGAAATCTCATCTAGACTGAGATTGAAATGGATAAATATTTGATCCTTAACCCTGATTATTTTTACCCACATTGAGAGAGTTACTGAAAAGGATGGGAAAGCAAAACAGCAATTCCATTGGAAGACCCTAAAGGAATTAGTGTCTGGCAGGAGCTGAAAAGTAACAACCTGAACAAGAACAGCTAATTAGCCCCACGCTGGAAATGCCTGGTGCGCCTCCGATCCCATTGGCAGATCAAGTGTTGCAATGGGCGCGAATGACCTAATCCCTGGAAGAGAGCCATCTCTTCCCAGTGAAGGAACAAGACATTATGGGATGCAGTAGGTAGCTGGGAGGCTTCGAGCGGTCAGTGCTCTCGCCGTAGAAAATTACAGGTCGAGTGCCGTACCGCTTATTCTCCTGGTGGTAGTTCTCATCTGCTGCTGGCACGCAGGAGCTGCGAGCTTTCAGTGAAGACATGAGTTTCACGTTCGCTGTACAGGATACGAGGAGCACAAGTGGTGCCTGTTCTGAGTTACTTTTCCCTGGGAAGCTATGAAGGTCTTAAAGCAAAACTGGAGCATTGTTATGACTGTGGTGTTACATCAAGTAGACATTGCTGGACCCTGACCACAAAAGCCTAGGTACAAATCCAGCTGGCTGCGGAGTGGTTTATCATCTTGTGGCTGCAACAAACTGAAAGACAGTGCCAGATCTCCTGCATAAACATGTTTCACTTTCGCCTCCCTGCACATTGAAGGATTTGGTGGGTGCTGATCACTGAACCTCCACCTTAGCAGACGGCTGACTCACACCTACAGCCCTCAGAGCTCCAAACAGCCACCAGCAAAACAACTGCACCATCTCAAAGAGCAAAACCAAACAAAGTTCTTTTATTTGACCAACATCCCTCCTTGTGTTTCCCAGTATTACTGTGGCTCAGTGTCCAGAGAAACATTCAGGCACGTAATGCTGAAAATGCCATCACAGGTTAGACACTATCTTGGTGCCAAGACCCGGCTCCCAACAGCGCAGATAAATGGGAAATGAGCTGCCTGCTGGAAGAGAGAATCCGTTTTGATTTCCCTTGGCAGACGAGCCCATGCATTTTTGAAAGTGTGGGGAATAAAAATGGCACCCAGGTTCTGTTTGGCCATTTCTCAGGAAGACCCCCAGTCCTATTTCACACCTTGAAAGAAACTGGACAGGAGCTATCTGAAAACATCTTCCCACATCCAACGTCACACTCCAAAACAATTAAACATTTGAGGCAATAAACAGGGACAAAGAGAGTTTTATGGAGAGTATTGGACTCTGCCCTCAGCTTCCCAAGTTACCTTTAATAGGAAAGTTGGACACTTATTCCTATAGCAGTGCACTTATTCTCTGTGCACTTGCACAAACCCATGTTAATGCCAATTCCACATTTAAAAAAAAAAGGGGGGGGGGGCAAAATTTGTGGGTGTCATCGCAGAATGACTTCAGGCTGATAGAGGAAAAAAGCCAATATATCAGGTAGGCAATATTGGAAGTATCTTACAGGACTGTCACAAAACTTAATCTGGAACATCATATGCAGGTCATCAAAAGTCAAGAAATAGGACAGATGAAATGTTTCCAAGGTGCAGAAGGGGATTGAGATGTTCTTACAAACAGTACTAGGTCTTGGCTCCTTCAGCCCAGCAAGATAAAAGCTGTACAAGTGCTTTAAAAAGCTTACAGACAGCAAACATGAAAATACTTAAGGCAGAGAAAAGTGCTGGCACAGTGTACGAACTGCCCAGGAACAAATTTGGGCTGGAAATCCTGTTTTCCAGGAGGTTCGGGAAAAAGCCTCTATCTCTAAGAGATATTTAGGAAAGAACGTAAGTTGTGATGAGGGTTGTAGGACTTGGTTGCCACTGTAGAGCAGTGGACAGCTCTGGTGCAGGGTGGCGGCCCTGTGGGTCAGTCACTGGACCCAACATCTCCCTCCTGGACACCATCACAAATGGCCAAACCCTTCCCTTCGTCTACCAGACCTGGCTCGTGGTTCAACCGCCAAAGCCCTTAGCTTGGTTTCCTCATCCTAAAGCAGCAAAATGTTTCTGCAAGGGTCTGGGGAGAGTCAGTACCTCATAACTGAGCAAAACACCCAGCCCACTTGACCACAGCACGAGGTTTGAAGCGAGACACTGGTGGGATCTGCCATCCTTTAGCTGGGCCCTCGTGGGGAAGGACACAGAGAAACAGCCCACAGCTATTTTCTGCTTGTGATAATTATAGTATCAAAGGCTGAACCAACAGGTTCTTTAGCAAGGAGATTCCCTGCAGCTTGCAAGATACAGATATCAAAATACCCCTCAGATTCACGGCTCAGGTTTCAGGTGACTCAGAATAATATTGTGCTGTATAATAATTTCATGTAATTCCTTGTTCAAGCTGAAGAACTCAATTGATAATGACTGTCTATAAAAGTTAATAGCAGGCTACATTAAAAGCTGCAGGATTATCTCTAGGCGACAGCAACAATACATTACTCACAGGAGAACCCTCACCAGCCCTTAGACTTCATGGGTGCTTTCCTGAAGGCCCCATTTTCTGAGCCTGAACCAGATGGGAGACAAGCACAATGGCATCTCTCTCCCAGTCCCTGGGGCACGGCAGCAAAGCCAGACTCGGAACCCCCAGAGCACTCCTCACGGGTTTTTTTTTCAGCAGAGTGGAGCAGAGAGGGTTTGATCCCACCCCCCGTGCCCGTAGGTGCTGTCCCACACAGTGCGAGTCCATACAGTGTGCACCCGGCAGTCGCACAGCCCGGAGTCCCGGCAGCTCCCGCTCGCCGCCCCGATGCTGCTGTCCCGGGGTCACCTGCAGGACAGTGGTCCGGGCATGGGACCGCAGGCGTCTCCAGCCGGCAGGACTGGCTCCGACTGTCACAAAGACCCTCCGGTCCTGACAGTGAGGTTCAGCTGAGGTGACTTGCCCAAGGGCACCAAGGAGATAAGGCTGGTGGAGCTCCTCCACTCAAGCCTGAGCAGCTTCACAGCAGGGAGTTGAAAGAGCAGGATGTAAATCAGGAATGACTAATTGCACTCAGCACTGCTGCCCTAAACCTCTCTCTTCCACGGGCTCCTCCGCCACCCAGACGGGAGCAGCACAGGGGCTGTGAACCGCCAGGAACAGCCCGGGCACAGGGCATCAGCCGCACACTGGGACACAGCCCCCGTTCCCCTCCAAGCAGGATGTTCCTGCCCAAATCCAATTACAGAGGGTTTCAAGTAAATAAATACTGGCTGCCGCCCCTGTTGGGAGAAGCCAGGCATCAGAGCAGACCAAGTGGTGCGAGGTGAAAGCAGCACGTTTGCTTTG